AGCGCTGCGGCCCAGAGCGCGGCGCGCGCCCGCTCCATGGCGCGAGAGACACGCTCGGGGGGCCCGGGGCGCGTGCGGCGGCCTGGCTTCCCCGGGGCGAGAGCGCGAGCAGTCGGGGCCGGGGCTGGCAAGAAGTCGCGGGGCTGGGCCCTAGAAGCTGGGCAGTCACTAGCCGCGTTCTCACTGCCCGCACCGCCGCGCTCGCATCTGGGTGGTGGCTGGCGCGTCGGCCCGCTATATAGAAGCCGGGCCGAGGACACGCCCCGGAACGGCGCGCCCGCGGGGGAGGTGGGGCTGGCTCCGGCCAAGCCGGCGCGCAGCGCTGCCCCGAAACTCCTCGGGTGGCGAAGGGGCCGCACTTCACGGATTTCCCAATGCGCCTCACCCTATGGAAGCGGGGCCGCCGCACAGGAGGCGCACACCGCGCGCTCTAGTCCGGCACCTGCTCTAGCGCGCGCCTGGCCCCCGCGGCCAGCTTCCCCGCTGCTACCCTGGCTCCGCCTGCTCGGCCTCTCGAGGGTCCGCAGAGGCGGGTTGGGCAGGCGGTCCGCGGCTGCCCCGGCGTGGTTGCCCAGCGGTTACTGGGATGAGCGCATCTGCCCTCCTCACTCGCGGGTACTTTCCAAAATTCCAGTTCTTTGGCGAGGAGAAGTGAGGCATTTCTGAGTGCTAATGCCCGGTTCTCGTTATGGGGTTGTGGGGACTGTTGGGAACTCTCGCTAATCTGTGTAATCTAGACACGTTGCACGAGAGCATAAATCGGGAGCGCGCAGTTTGAGGATGGAAGCTGCTGCGGACCCACTCTGGTCTTCCTGTGTACGCAGGGCTGACTTCGTCTGCGCGCCTATTTCCTAGGTGACCGTCAGAGGGCGCCAGTGGCCCAGGATTGAATTGAGCTTTCAACTGTCCAGGGCTCATTTACAAAGAACATGTGGGTCAGCAGTGGGAGCCGGTGAGACCACCGAGGGAGGAAAAGCCCCTGACGCTGCTGAGTTGGGTACATACCCTGCGACGTCGAGACGTGTCTTGGAGGGGCCCTTTGCAGTTTGCGGTAGGAACAGCAAATCTGGAACCCCCCCTTCGCTCCTCCCTCCACCCTGGCAAGACCACCACCCCACAAAGGATAAAATCAGCATTTATGCACCTATCTCTATCCATCTTTCCATCCATCTGTCCGCCTGCGTTTCAGAATGGGAAGACCAGTTGAGTTTCCATTTGCTTACTCATTAAACATAAAATAAATTGAAAAACAAATTCATTGCGCCTCCGCAGTGGAAAAGAGACCAAAAACAAGAGCAAGGGCCACTAGGCACCACATGGGCACAATGCCCTCACTTTCAGTGCGGCCCTGTTTACAGTAAATCCTCGCTCTTTCCGTTCTCCTCTATCGCCTCCTTGTAGCTGTATGTTAAATATCTGCTTTGACACCCAAGAACAGGGCTTCCAGTTTCACTGGAAATTTACGTGAAACAAAACAAATCCCTCAGGGTTACATCTGTTCTTTAAATAACCAGAGAGACTTTGACCTGAAATGAGAGCTGGGTTCTGTATCAAAACAATTCTGGAGGTTGCAGGTTGGCCTTTCTGTTGAACACATTGATCAGTGTGGAACCTGGACTGACCAGTGGTCAATGTAACACTTTTTACCCAGGTTTATCGTCTGGCAATGGAATGCGGGAAGGGTAAAAAAAATGTCTTTTTGAAAACGATAAACATTGAATAAGTCGTTACTATTCGTCTGTTGCTATTTAAATAACAGCGGTTCGCTTGCATTGCAGCTTGAGAAATGGCCATTTGCCCGTGTGGAGTCCTAGGGGGCGCCAGAGCGCCAGCACCGAGCGCGTACTGAACAAGCCAGAGATAATGAAAAAGCTCAAAATTATGTTGGGATTTTCAAAGGATTTTCCAGTAACAACGTTTTATATAGACGGTCATCACCTTTATCATGAAATGTTTTGATAGAGAAGTAATTCTGTGGCATTGATGTGGTGAGAATTATTTTTAATATTTAGTCATTTTATTTGACAAAACTGGAGGAAAACAAGCAAGCAAGCAAACAAACAAATCTTGATGTAATTGTTGCAGGAAGGGTTTGAATGGGATAAAACTTAATTTAGTGACATGGTAGTTAATTTTCTCAGACTTTCAATTGTTCTGATGTTTGTGGTTATTAACAACAATAACAGTTCATGGGAAAGATTTTCCCCTGCTGAAGGCACTCAGAATACATTACGTAATAATTATAAAGTAGTAAATAGCCATCGGGATAACAGGATACTAAATACATCCCTTTTCACTAACACAGCTCAGCTGACCTGATTATAGTTAGTGATGCCTGGGACCAGTCTGGTTATCCTAACCATATGACATAAACTGCTCATTTCTTGGACCCAGCACTCCCACTGATGACGTGGGACCACAGCCCCTTTCAGAATCTCACCTGGCTGTTTCTGAACTGCCAGGGCATCTGGTCATGACGTGATGTCTGATTCCTGGTTTTCTTCAGCTCTGGTGTCTCTCCACAACCACAGCCAACAGAACCCACAGGCTGCAAGCCTGTCTCCATCTCCCCATAACCCCAGATGTGTGACAGGCATGGCTTACCTACCAGCCCTGGGCCCGCTGCTGCTGAGGCATGGAGTGAGCGAGGGGTCAAGGCTGAGAGGTTCCCAGGCGCTCTCAGTGCACCCCAGAGATGCTGAGTGGTGGTGGGAAGGCTCCTCTCTCTCTGTTGCAGGGGGCAGGGCCTCCTACCTCCTGTGCTTCTTCCCGCTCACAGCTCCCCTAGCCCAAGGTCTCGGGCATGAGCGAGAGGGGGTAGGGCAGTCAGTGGGGGTGGTGGTGAAGGTGGCAGTGGTGGAGCTGTTGGCAAAATCGAGGGGACAGATGGGAGTTACGCTCCACACCATCCTTCCACCAGGCGGTGCTGTGCAGCTCAAGTGTCTCCTACCCCAGGCAGGTTGTAGATTTCTGCTGGGCCCCTTCACCAGCCTTCTTGGCGGCCCCTCTCAATACTTTAGCGAGTCCTCCCAAAGACTCCAAGTCACGTTACAGACAAGGTCCCCGAGGCACAGAAATTAGATCACTTGCTCGAGGCCACACAGTCAGAAAGCGACCAGTCCAGGATTTGAGTGCACATGTCTGCTTCCAGAGCACATGCTACTAACACTTCCTGATGGTGCGCCCCAACCCCGGGCTGGGCTCTGCGTGGGTCCAGGCGGAGAACTGGAGACTGAAGAGTCCATAGAGAAACAGCTCATCTCCCTTCCGACATGACCGCTTGCCAACGAGGAAATCAAGTTCTGCACCTACAAGTGCACCTCAGAGGATTTTCCAGGTGCCTTTGGGCCAGGTTTGAACCCACCAGCTGCTCCTCTAGAGAAAGATGTGGCAGTCTACTTCTGTAAAGATTTACAGCCTTGGAAATCCTATGGGGCCGTTCTACTCTATCCTATGGGGTTACTATGAGTCAGAATCAACTTGATGGCCATGTTTTTTTTTTTTTGGGGGGGGACTAGGCACCTCGTTGGCCTATTTGTGAAGTGAGCTGTGTGGGACAGATGCTGCTGCAGGCCTTCATCTTTGTCCTCCTGTGACTCTGAGCTATTCTGCACAGGCACAATGGAAAAGGAGTAAACAGGTCATCTTCTGACGCAGAAATTTCTCAAGGTGCAGCCGATGACCTTACTGCGAGGTGTACTAAACAGAAGGACCACTCAGGAGATAGTCGTTAAATAAATGGACTTCAGGGGAAAATGCATGTGCTTGCGTGCAGACACACACACACACACACACAAGCACACCTGGCATAGGGGTGACAGACAGTAGCCATCTGTCTGATTTGGTAGGCCCTCATGCTGACAAGGTGGCAGTGGTGCGGTGGGGAGATGGGGAGGGGCTCGCATGCAGCTAGCACCCCTTGCAGCCTGCACCAGCTGCTCTAGCGTCCCCACTGGGTTCCCAGGGCAGGCTCTGGGACAGCTCGCGTCACACTCCAACCCTCCTTAGCTGTGTGACTTAGGAACGTTATTCCACTTCTTCAATTCTCAGATTTCCCTTACGTGAAATGGGAAAAATAATAGTTCTTACCTCATAGGGTCCTCATAAGGAATAAAAAATACACTCCATTTAAAGCATGTAAAACGCAGAGTAAACACTCAACATTGTTCATGACTATTATCACTATAATTTTAGCTGTGTTATACAACAATCATGTGATATAGGTAGAGATGTGGAAACTGAGATTCATAAGGGGAAAGTGATTTTCTGATGGCCGTCCTCTAGCGTAGAGGATCCAAGTTTCACATGGTTTATTTTTTTTTCTTTTTGTTGTTGTGCTTTAAGTGAAAGTTTACAATTCAAGTTAGTCTCTCACAGAAAAATTTATACATTGTTTTATGACCCTACTTGCTGTCCCTATACTACGACAGCACACTCTTCTTTTCCACCCCAGATTTCCTGTGTCCGTTCAACCAGCTCCTGACCCTCTCTGCCTTCTCATCTCACCTTCGGACAGGAGCTTCTCATATAATCTCATGCATCTACTTGAGCTAAGAAGCACACTCTTCACGAGTATCATTTTATGTCCCATAGTCCAGTCTAATCTTTGTCTGAAGAATTGGTCTCAGGAATGGTTTTAGTTTTGGGCTAACAGAGCCCAGGGGCCATGTCTTCCAGGGTCCCTCCAGTTTTGATCAAACCATTAAGTCTGGTCTTTTTACTAGAA